TGATTGATTGACTCATTGATTGATTGTGTTGACTGATTGATTGACTGGATGATTGATTGATTGCTTGATTGATTGATTGATTGACTGATTGATTGACTCATTGATTGATTGTGTTGACTGATTGATTGACTGGATGATTGATTGATTGCTTGATTGATTGATTAATTGATTGATTAATTGATTGATTGATTGATTGATTGATGGAGGGATGGATGGATAGACTGACTTACTGGTTATCTACTGATAGCATGCAGCATCCACACAACTTTACAGCTTACTTTCACTCCACAGATAATAATCTCCAAACATGAGCCAGGCACAAAAGCATCTTGAGGAACTAAGCGCAAGTGCTGATATGAAACAAGCTGAGTGTCAAAATCAAGAAACAGACGAGAATCAAACAAATCTCCTGGATGGCAATAACTACATTCAGATATTTTGCTGGAAATGTTTAGCATGCTCAAAGCTACTGTTTGGAATAAGTCTTTTACCAATCACATTTGCAGTGCTCATTTTATGTGCATTAGGGATCAAGTAAGCTGTTATGTCTTCTCTTCGAGCACAAAAAACCCTGAATCTGTGAAACAATAATTATTATTAATATCATGTTCCGGATTCCATGTGTTTGTGGAGTGTTAAGTTGAATCATATGCAGTTTGCATTGTACACAAAGATAATTCCTTTGAGGCTAATTAAACTTGAAAAAATATTATTTTTTTCACAGAGTTTAAGATTGTCACCCATAAAGATCTTACCTGATATTTAAGATAATTGCCTTTGTTATTTCAGTTACYCCATTGCTGTTCATCTTGGACATGTAGCAGCACTATTTCCCTATGTAAGGTAAATATTATTTAAACTTGAAGAAAATCTGATTATATAACACCTGAGACTAAAGCAGCATCCAAGAGGAAAATAAAAAATAGAGTTTGTATGACTGAACTCAAAAAAGTCCTTAGGCTATTCAATCACAGCGAGTGTAAGAATGGGCATAAAGAACTTACCACTTCTAAAGTTAAACAATGTGTAAAGTTGTAGTCTTTTTTATATTTCAGCTGGCTGGCATCCTATGGCCCTGAAGAATATATATTTGATTTTTTGTTAAGTCTGGCGTCAATAAATGGTGAGTATCTGAAAATGAGAAAAAAGTTGTGAAAAATAAAAAGATTTAGTATAAACATACTAATGGTCTATCACTCATACTGCGCTGTGATTGGCTACTCTACTAATGGTCTAATTTGTGATAGACCACTCGCGGGAAAATCAAAATAAATAAATTATAAATTAT